CGCGGTCCTGGGGTGCCCTGACCCTGCAGACAGTCATTGGGGGCTGCTCGACCAGCCAAGCAACGGCTGCAGGCATGCTCCGGTGGGCCCAAAGCCATCAGTAACCACCAGCTTGACTCCCTGTCCCATTCGGAGGCCAAGGGGAATGAGAAGGAAGCATCTCGTAGGGCTACCCAACACCCTGCTGTGCCAGCCCTGAGGAAAATGGTTACAGACGGGATGAGAACTGTGGAGGGTTTTTTTAAGTGGAGATGATAAATGCAGGCTAAAGAAAAGGGATCACCTAAATTTAATAAGGGACACCAGGAACTCCCTGTGAGGAATTCCTACAGTCCTTACATCCCTCTGCAGGACCAGAGCAAGAAGAGCTCGCTGTTGTGGAGGAATGTGATTTCCCTGGTTGTGATGAGGATGGAGGGGAGCCCACCAGCTGTTTTAGTAAGCACTGCCCTGCAAAGACCTCCCTGGACTGCCACTGAGATGCTAAAGCCCCAGGTTTGTCTGGAAGGAAGTTTTTCATTGGGAGTGTTTGGCAGGCTGTTCTCTCTGGTAGTTCCTGGTCCCCTCTGTGTCTGAGATGAAGTTTCCTTTTAGCTGGAGGAGAGATTTGCTCGCAAATTGCTCTGACATGAGACACATCCCAGCCTGGGAACCCTACTGTAGTGCACACGGCGGAGCAGAGCCTGTCGAACACCAGGCTTCGCATGCGGCTTGTGCCAAATCCTGTATCTGAAAACACAATATGTTTCCTTTCTCCCACTGCAATCGCCCTTGTTATTGTTAAACACTCTCTAGGCATCACATAGGGCCAAAAGCCGAGAGGCGCCCAGCACCTGCGAACACCATTGACGTCAGACGCACGTGCAGGTGCTGGGTGCATCTCCCGGCCCCGCGGGGGAGAGGGCTGCAAAGCACCAGAGCCAGCACTGGGAACGGAGTCTGGAGGTTGTTCTCGAAGTGCCTGTCAGTGGGCTGCAGCCTGGGTTTGTCTAGTAGCGCTTTCTCCGGCCAAGGCAAATGCAAAGGTATTTTATGCAAACTAAAGGGAGTATTCAAAAGCAGTGCTTGTGCGCGTTCATTGCCAGCACTCAAAATAACGCCGCGGTTCATGAGAAATTGTGGAATGGTGTCAACTGCATTTTATTGATGTCACTAAATCGGGTCGAAGCCCCTGCCTGCATTTTCATGTGTCCACACAAGCTCACCAGCAGTTGAGCTCTGACAACATTTAGCTTAGGCCTTTTCCAGCTGCAGTCTCCTCTCACAGGGGAGCTGGAAGCTTCATCAGGACAAACTGGGTTGGAGACATGGGGCTTGGGCTGGCCCAACACTGAGCAAATGGAGCCAGCCCAACGGTGCTGGAGAGAGGGAGGATGGAGAACAGACCTCCAAGCTTGTCTCCAAGCTGTGTCTTCCCTGGAGCATGTTAGCTCCCAGGCGCCCGGCCAAAGCCGGACTATAAGGCCAAGCTCTACGTGGATGAGTTATTTGCCAGGTAAAGTTGATGGGAACCTGAATCTGTGAAAAGCTCTGCTGGCCGGGATCCTTCTGCAGGAGCAGGTCCCTGGAGAACATCTCCTTGGGCCAGGCCCTGTCCTCTCCATGTGCGGTGCCTGGGCTTTTGCAGGCAGCAAGAAGTGATAAAGAAAAATTAGATCTGGCTGGCGAAAAACGTTCCCGTGGGAAATTTTGACTTTTTGTCAGAAACTCCAGCGCGTTTCTTTTTCAGCCCCAAATAAGCATGAATAGGAACAAAGATTCGGTTTTGGCAGGGGGAATGGGCTTACCAAAGAAAACACCCAAATTTTTAAGCAAAGCAGACACATTCTACCATTTTTCTCCCTGGTTGAAAAAAACAATTTTCCAGAAAAAAGAGCAAATTCAGTGAAAAAAATGTAATCAGTTCTTACACCACTGCCTGGGGCAAATTCAGTTAATTTGGCTAATTCACCTACCCACTCACCACTGCTGCTCAGGAGGGTCTGGCCTCCTCTGGCTTCCCTCTCAAGCGGTTGAAGATCCCTCCAGCATGCAGCCGGCGACATCACCACCAACTCACCGCTCATCCCCTGCCTCTGCCCGGCGAAGGCTGGGTCCATAGCCCTCGGGTGACCGCAAAGCCTGACTTCCCCTCAGGATTTAGGAGAGAAACCAGGGTGGGCCGATGGTCAGGAGCAAGTGGGTGGGAGCTGAATAGGGTTATTGTGATCTTTATCTAGGGGGATTATTCCAGGCAGTGTGGGCTTGGCAGGGCAATGCAGTTGTTTGGCCATGGTTGGTTTTGCAGACTGATAGGTATGGCCCCAGGGAATGTGCAGCAGAAACGGGCTGGGGAAAATTATTTTACGGTAGCTTCATCCTTGCAAAACATTCACTTCCCAGCAAAGTTGGCGGAAAAGGAAAAAACTGACTGATTTTCGTTTGCAGAAGTCTGCCGCGGCTAGGACTGTGCATGGTCTGAAATGCAAAGCCTGGCACAAAAGTCACACATTTTACTGGAAACTGGGAACTTGTATCCTTTTTATTGGAAGCAAATTGGAAGGGAGAAGGATGGTAAGTGCACGGGGCCAGCATAGTAACTGAACATTTTCAGGAGCGCTTCAGGACCCTGCAGACTAGACCAAGGGTCCAACAGCACCCCGAGATCGCACCACATTTTATGGCATCGCCGACAGCGGTAACTCTCTTTCTGCAGGCGGGCAACTGGTCCCTGTCTGTGGGACGGGACCGAGGCCTGGGGGGAGCTGAGCCCCTCCTGCCCCCCTGGACCTGCTGCTGAGGAAGAGGCAGCGCTGGGGCGGCGGTGGGAAATAATCAAGACGTGGAGTCCCATGCCCGAGCGCTGCCGGCACAGAAGCAAAGCAAACCCGGAGATAAAGCCCGGCTCGGTGCTGTTGGCACATCCGAGAGGCACCCGCCGCCTTCCCCTCCGGGAAACGGCATCTCCCCGCCGCTCCCCCCTGCGCTGCCGCCGCCCCGGGGCCGCCCCCGCTCCGCCCCGACCTGAGCCGCAGCCCGGCGGGGAGCGGAGGCTCCGGACCGGGGCAGAGGCACCGCCGCCCGCTGCCGGGCCCCCCCGCACCTTCCCCCGGCGCCGCCACGGCGTGTGTCCCGGTGTCACCGGGCTGCAGGACCGGGCCCCGCTCTCCCTGCCAGATAACCCAGGCTTGGCCGTGCCTCGGTGTTGAAGGCGGCGGGGAAGAAATTGCGCTCGCTGCAAGGGAGACATCTGATTGTGATTTGGGAAGGAAAAAAAAAAAAAAAAAGGAGGGGAAGGGAAAGAAATAAAAAAAAAGCCCAACCCCGGCCGCTCGGCGAGGGTTTTTTTTCCTATCGTCGGAGCTGCAAATATTTTGGAAGACGGGGCCGTGTTTTCCGTGTAAACAAGGCGGCGGCGGCGGGCGGGCG